CCTCCTGCCCCTCACTGGGTCTGGTAGCTGCCTCAGCCATGCCGACTAGGAACAGTCTTTTTCTGACCCCAGGTCTCAGCCTAAGTGACAGAGAGGACATCAGGCGACAGAAGTACCTACTTCTTCCAGGGCACGGGTCAGAAGGAAGACATTAAGCAGAAGCCTTGGGTCTCTTTCCTGCCATCCAACGCTGGCTCCTCTCCTCCCTGGAGAATTCAGGGAGGAAAAAAAAGATCAAAATAGTCTGGCTAAGCCTGTGTGTCTTTTTACCGCAAACACCTTCTGTTCTGGCCTATGCAGTTGCTTTCACAGCTGGAAAGGGAATATTTTTTTGCTTAAATAAGAAGGAAAAAAATGGCTGGACTCTTTTCAGTGTGCTCCGGGGAGCTTCAGGAAGCCACATGAAACTAAAACGCTCTCTATCACACCTCTGGCACCTCTCCACAGCTCCCTGGGTGTCACTGCAAATTAAGTTATGTTGGCTACACTTAAAATTTTTGGCTGAACATAACTCATCAAAGGTAAACACATGGAAAACCTCTGGCTTTGGTAGCAGCTAACGGAGACGTCTTGATGACGAAACCACATGTTCCCTCAGGGCTGGCCCTAGGCGTTCTGCGTTAGCGTGCCTGTGCCAGGCTCTGAATGTTGAAGTGAGCCTCAGAAGACAGTTTCTACTGCCTGCCTCAAAGGCTGGAAGAGAAGACCTAAGGGGAAGCTAAAACCTGTTGCAACAGAGGGTCTGCTTTCGTAGCAGGAGACAGCAGGCTCAGACCCCATACAAGGACTAGGCACAGGCAGTAGGGAACAGAAAGCGGGTGCCCATTCTGTATAAAACACTCCTCAGCTATCAAATATTTCCCGTGATGTTCCCCCACCAGAGCAGCTAATCCCTCCAGCAACCTGGGTGACCAGCGTGGTCCTTCCAGGCAGCTTCTCCTCACCGGCTCTTCCCATATGTAGCCCAGCACCTTTGTCTGCCTTACTTCAGAGGCATTGGGCAGTGGTCAGAAAAGTTTGTTTGGGTTTTGTTTTCTTTCAACGCAGGTCTCCCTGCGTGGCAGTAACTCGCTCTCATGCCATAAGCCACCCCAGCCCCAGGAGCAGCCTGGGTGAGAGCATGCACAGGACCCCTTTGAAAGGACTAAACGCTGCACAGAGGGACTCTGAAGAAATGATGTGGCTTATTCCTGAGGGAAGGTGAGGAGGGGAGAGATGTGGCTGTGGCTGCTCTCTTTCCGTGTGAATGTGGAGATTTAAATAGAGAAGGTTTCCTTCCCTATGCAGATGTGTGGATGGGGTAGTTAACATGGTTTGCATTAAGTGAGGGCTGGGGGACCGAGCACCTTACATTTTTTCCTTCTTTTCACTCCTCCATTTTTAAAAGAGAAGTGTTTAATATACTGGGGCTGACTCCAACCTTATACCAGTACAACTTAGACTTCATTAACATGCATTTCTATTTATACCAGAAGAAGACAAAACAGAATCAGTTTCTGCCTGTAGCAGCACTACAAAGATGAGAAGGAAAAGGACTGTGAGTGCTGTAAGACTAAGTTGTCATAGCAGCATAATTACATTTGAGTCTACTTTGTACGAAAGCAGACTGCCAGAACCTCATTTTGGAGGGAAAATCACTGTCAGGAGAAAAAGGGAGCTCTGCACTGCTCTGCCTAAATTGTATTAGATGGCAAACAGCAAACCGGATCTGCATCTCCCTGCAAATGAACCTCCTTGTACGGAACCAGGCAGGCCATTTTAATCTGTTGTGAATTCAGAAGGAGATCACATGAAACACTTCTTCACAGAGTTTGAAGAAAGTATATCAAATTGTAAACTACAGTGCATAAGAACTTATTAATTATAGATGCGAACAGTGTTTTCCAGAGGTTACATTTTCACTGAATTAAAATTTAAACAACGATGAATTTCTTAGGTCACCTTCCTGTTGAATAAGTAGTTTCAGTAATCATGTACATACGGCTTCATCGACCATCAGCATACACTCTCTTGCAGATGCACTGATTGTGTAAAAAAATCGAAACAGAATATCCAGAAAAAGACAAATCAAAACAAAATGCACCTTAATTGCTTGTTCTCTGATATGCAGATGGGCTAGCTGCTCAGTTCAGGTTTTCACAGCATACCTTGAAGTGACATGTCTTGTGGATGCCAGCTCCGGCAACTCTGTACACCACTTTCCTCCTTGGCAAACTATCCTAAGGAGAGATACTTTCCCATCGCGACATGGCCATATTCACACCACATTTACAGTGTTTCGTAGCTGTTAGGAGTCTAACTTTCCTCCACACACCTGCAATGAGCATCTCGAAACCCCCTGGAGTGGCTGCTGGGGTGGAGGTTGCAGGCAGGGTGTCCCCTTTTCTTTCCAGAACCTCACACCCTCCTGCGCCGGTGAGGGGCCCTGAGTCAGCCGGACAGGACAGCGGATGCTTGCTGCTGTCAGGGCAATTTCTTTCAACAACTTTAGGTAAGGTTATGTTTTTGTATGACTAACTAGTAAATTGTTTTTTATAAAGAAACAAACAATAAGAAATGCAAAAAATAAGTAGCAAACGTGCTCCAGATGGCACAGGATTACCAACCAGAAACAGGCAGACACACAATTTCTGCAACAACCTGGAGCAGCTACAGAACAAGGCAAAGCTATACAGACAAAGTTTTAGGCTGAAGGTCAGAGTAAGTAAAATAGGGGAGACAGTGTCAGCAGTTTTTTGTACAGAGAATATACTTGCTAGCAGAGCATTTATTATAGCTAACCAAAACTTTCATCCAAGAGTGAAATAAAATTCCTCAGTAAACTTTTTTTTTCCCCCTTCATTTGACACTGTTACTTCTTTTTCGGAATATAAGGACTTTATTTTTTTGGTCCATGGTTTGTGTAGTCTTTATGCTTTTGCTTGTAAGGAAAATCTTTATTGTAAGGAAAAGGTGTAATTGATGTGGTGTCTGAAAACAGCAGCTATCATATGCTGAAATAATATTTCTGAGTCATAAGCAGCTTCATTCATCTCCAGAAGACATTCACGCTGACGCTTCACTGTGACCATCTGACTGTCAACATCATTAAATATTTTGCAGCCACTCGGTGCTCACATTCCAGAAAGGAGAAGTTTCCTACCAGTCTTTCTTCCTGTATTGATGTCTGTAGCTATATTTCTGAACAGTCAATATTGTCTGTGCTAGATTTTATTTTTATAGTATAAGTAAACACTAGATAAAAAGAAAATGCTTTTACTTATCTCTTGAATTTTACCAGTCTGGGAAAATACTCTGTCATAGACAGATTTCCTGTGAGATCCTGACATACTTTCCAGATAAACGGTCACGTTATAATACATCTTATGGGCTCCTACTTTGTTATTCATGTAACTGTGCAATCATCAACATTATCCAGCTCTGAGTTAAACTTTCTCTTCTTCTTGGGCGTGACATTCAAAAAAACTTTAAAAGCCAAGCCTTAGCTCTATCTTTTCTTTTTCTTTGTCTTTTTTTTTTTTTTTTTTTTTTTTTTTCCCCCCACAAAAGGTGGGGGTGGTTCTTCGTTTTGGGAGGGGAAGGGGGGGAAAAAGTACTCAGTTCTTCTT